TCTTTTTGAGGTTTTTGAAGTTTTAAATGCCACCGTTTACCGTAATTTCCACAACTTGTGGGAATTGTGTAGGTGTTATAGTCTGTTCTGCAGCTTTTGTTTTATTAGCGCATTTAATTAAAACTTGATTTTGTGTGCATCCTAGTGTGTCTTAAAAAGACGGCATGCATCTTTTATCCACTTAGCTGGCCTACAAAGATAATCATAAAAGTAAATTCAGCTTCCTTTCTTTAAGGGTGGGTTCACATTGCTGCCTTTAGAGAGCAGTGAAGCTGATTCTTTTCCCATGTGCCCTCATTTCTTTCTCTATGTGTACAAACCAGGAGGCATTTAGGGTGTGGGTGTGGGTGTCTTTACCCTAAGCAAAGGTGTTCACCCCTTGGCTAGTTCCACATTAAGAATGGCTTAAGGACTCCACAGCTATGTGAAACAGTGCATCAAACAATAGCATCTTATAACAAATTACAGAATGCATGCACATTTTGGATAATGCAGTGTCAACACACAGATTAAAAGCCCAGCACTGGAAAAGCAGTGAGTAAACCTGAGTGTGAACACAGCTGTAGTCTAGCTAAATGTCTGGTTGCTATAAGGAGAGGAGCACGCAACTCCTGCCAGAACAATGTTTCCACCCACTTCATACTTATGGCTGCTGCTGCTACAACATGGCGGATTTCATATCCCTTTGCCAAATTTTAAAATGTTAAGAAATAAAGTTTGTTACTCTCATTAGATTGTGTGGTGGCACACACAATCTAATGCGTATTAATGCATTAATGGAGATCTCCCCGCTCCATGATACATGTACTTAGAGCTTTAAACCTGTTGACTAATTTCTACATTTACTATATTTTCCAATGAATCCAGGTGCTAAAATATTATTGTTTCTCCTATAAAAGCTACTTGACAGTTTGTGTAATGGTTCAAATTTTGTCCCATAGGCTGTTGAATGTAGTTTGCTAATGTGAGTCAAAGAAACAATGAAGAATCTTTTAGTCCTTTAAAGACTTAACAGATTTTTTTGTAACATAAGCTTCTGTGGATTAGAATTAACTTTGCAAGAAGTTTGAAGCTGACAGGTGTACATACACATGGGTGTAGAAGGAAATACTGTACCTCTGAGGTATAGCTGGCACTCGTTCATTTTCAGTGCTAACGTAAAACATAATTGTTCTCTGAAACATCTGTTGAATGTTGATTTAGTCAGCCACATATAAGAAGAAGCTGGCCTCTCTGTGGTGTCAAATATAGTTTTAGCGATTGTTGAATAATTGCTGTTTTAATTATGGTATCCTTAAAATCTGTTCCTATTTGTTCTGAAAAAGGAATTTGATGAGTGTTGCTGTTTTGAGGTTTAGGTTATTGTAAGCTACCCCAGGATCAGTAACTATGAAGGGTGGGCTAGAAATTTTATCAAATGAACAATTGCATCAAAATGGCAAAGGATAGTCTTCAAATTTAATTAATGCTTAAATGTAGGCAAAGTAGGCACAGAGGCCATTCATAATGGCACAATAGCTCAGTCTTTGGAGCATGAGACTCTTAATTTTAAATTTCAAGCTTTTACGAGCTAGGTTCCCTCTGCAGATGAAAGAGTCCTAGGGAGTTTTAATGAGCTCAGTTTGTTTGCAGGCAAATTCCTTCTTGGTGACCGATTATCCCCACAGCAGGGTTTTCAAGATACAGTGCCCCCTGAGCTCAAGAGCAAAGCCCATGTATAGGGTGGGCAGGCAGAGCTGATCTCCCACTGACCGCATTGCTGGCGCCCTGCACAGCCAGTTTAACTATCCCAAAGGCAGACCAGAATGAAGTCTTGCTCCTTCTGGTCTGCTGCTGAAACCCTGCCTCTCAGAGAGGCCCTCATTGGCTAATTTGCATTCAGAGTTTAGGTGGGGTATCCTGTCATTCTACATGGCCAGCCACGAAGGAGGCGGGGTCTGCCTTATCCTCTGTCCAGGGAGATGGACCGGGCCACAACTGTCCCCTCCACAAAGAAGGGGTAATCAGTCTTTCCTTCCTATCCAAGCCCTCTCCCCCAGGCTCTTTTAGCTTCATAGCAGACACCCCACAACCCAAGTCGCCTCTCCCCAATACTGTTGGTTACTAGGGTTTTGACCAGTGCTGTCCCTTTCTCCATTCCCCCCCCCACTTTTCTCTTCTCCCCAGCTGATGTTCAGCTATGATTCACAGTTGGCGAAGGACTTGTCAAACTGTGTGTGTGTGTGTGTGTGTGTGTGTGTTTGCAAACACATAATTTTTAGCGTACCTGTAGACTACCCTAGTGCAGAAATCTCTGTGGGTGGGTGGTCCAACTTTGCTGCTCTAATGATAGTCATGGATCGCCAGTTATTTACATTATTTTTTTATTTCTTAATGACATTTGTATATTGCCTGAAACATAAAATTCTTACAGCTTACAGTAAATGTGAAAATAATTGAAATACGAGCCAAAACGTAGAACTGTTGAAAGGGGAGGAGAGGTACAAAAGGCTGCTGTTAGTGTTAGTGTAATATTACTTTACATCATTGCATTCTTTTTGAATGTCTACTAACCAACAAATTTTCGGTACTGCACCATCATAACCATTGTCATAATTAACAACTACATTCTGTAGTTCAGCTTGCTGTTCCATATACACCCAAATGAAAATTGCATGAAGAAAAGGAATATCAAATCCAAACTAGAATAGATTGAAATGCTGTTCTTAATTTCAAGGTGAAGATGTTTAAAATGTGCTTGAATCCTAATTGGTATATGGTATTTCTAAAAGTCACATGGAATATTCAGGAAACATTGACATGAAGTGTACTTGTAAATTATTTTAGTGCTTGGTATAAACCTCTCTCAGTCCATTCCAGCTCTTTAATGAAATAGCAGTTGTCATTTGATTGGATTGATATGCATCTCCTAAATGCATATTTTCAAGAGAAATGGCAAACACAGTTATAAAGTTGAACAATGAGAAATGTCAACCCCAATGTTCTGTTGATGCTGACAGAAACAAGAAAATACGTTTACTTTTGCTTACCCATTTTACTTACCTTGTAATTATGAAATATTTGTCCTAATAAAATGGAAGTTGTGCCAGTTTGAAGGTCATAAAGTCATATGATTTTCTCTGTAACTCGGAAAGAAGAAAAAAACCCATCGATGTTACCTTTATTTCCTAATTTGGGATGACTATTCACTGAGGGCAAAACTAGTTCAGTGGACCTGAATCGCTGCTGAATATTTAAAAATAATTGGTGAGGAGGGCAGAAGTAAAAAAAAACCTTAACTTTCCTTGCTTGCTGCATCTCCCTTGTATGCTTGCTCCCCAACTGTTTTTCCTCTCTACTGCCAGCAACACTTCTCTGTTGGAAGAAAAGTTGCTGAAGGAGGTGAGTTTAAGGGAAAGGTGTTTGGCAGGGAAAGGTGTAATCAGCCTTCCTTCATCCTTCCAAACCAACGGCCTCATTTCCTTACAGTTTGCATTTGTCAGGGACTTGGGTTCCTAATCCTGGGTCCTTCGCCAAAGGTTCAGTCTGTTTGTAAGGTTAATATGAACAGAAGGGAGGAAACTACTGGGAAACCTCTAAGATATTTGATCAGACTTCATTCTTTCCCTCCCCTCCCCTTTGTTGTACTTGTGGTTTGGCCTGGAGACCTTGTTGTGCAGTGGTAGGTCAGTGGCAGGGTGAGTGGCAAGAACTACAATCCTGTGAATATTTCCTTTGAAATAAGCATCATGCATTGAATGGGATTTTTTTTTTAAGTCAGAACGCACAGAATTTCAGTCTTGGTTAACTGCAGTTTTCAAAAAAGTTTAAGAAGATTTAAACAGTACAGAATGTATGCTAGCCTGTTATTTTAAGACCACCATATCAAACCCACCGAGAACCAATATAATTGGGCTTTTTTCTGTCAACGATGACCTTTTTTAATCACAAATGTTGTTACTCTATAAAGTACAATTGCATTTTGCATGGAGTTTACAGTCCAGGCATGGCACATACATGCAAAAACACCAAGCGGGTCCCTTTCAGTGTGCAGGCTTTGAAGTGCTCTTATGAGATCTTTTGGGACCATCCAAGTTCCCACAAGATCTTGGGAGAGCATCCCGGAGTCTGCACTCTGAGAGGGACTTGCCCAGTAAGCAAGGGAGAGAGCTTGCACCAAGTGCAAAAATAGCTTCTATTGTCTCCTCCCTGCATTCATTTAATCTGCAGTTTCAGCTTGCCAGCTTTCAACCATGCAAGGTTGAAATTGCACTAGTTAATGGCGCATAAGACGCGATCGTACTGTAGTGACAAAAAATCTGACCACTATAGACAGAAAAGAAACTCCTAGGATTTGGCCCGTATTTTGAATAAATTTCGATCTTGCCTCAAACATCTTCACTTGGAAAATGAGTGTAATAAAAGACTGAGTGTTATTTCACTAATTTGAAAAATAAGCAGCTCCTTGATTACATTGTGGCTATTAATTAATAACCAATGGGTTATGTTCCACTTCTAATGCAGGCAGATAATCTGAATACAGTGTTGGGACATTTGAAGGTTTGATATGGAAAAACACTGTTAATGCAATTTATATGCATTGTCTTCATTATTCCTGTGTAATCTTAGCATGAAGAAGAACGTGGCAGGTGATCTGCATGGGACTACAGTTCCTAGGTAGCAGTTTTGCCTTTTTTTTAAGTGTTCCAAGTTTGGCAACTGATAAAGTAAGCACTTTGATGCCTAGGGGTTTTGTTTGTGTATGTATTTACCTATGGCTAGTATTCTTGAACATGCTATGAAGCAGTTAATCTTCTGGCTAATAGATGTGATGCTTCATTTAAAGCTTTTCATTTGAACTGTGTTTCATGATGATTTCAGGAATGACAGTGTTCTTTTTTTCTCGTTCTTTTCAAACCCCTGTTTATATGTGTGTATTTTTTTCCTCTGCCTAGACCTGGTTAACCATTTCTGTGAACAGGTCCTCAATTTTTTACTTTGTCCCTACTTTCCTGTCGTAGCCCCATCTTCCCCTGGTGTCGACTCCGTACCCTTACAGCGCACAGGCAGTCAACACGGCTCACAGAACGCAACAGCGACCTTCCAGAGGGCCAGCTATGCAGCCGGCCCAGCCTCCAATTACGCAGACCCCTACCGACAGCTGCAGTATTGTCCTTCTGTTGAATCACCATACAGCAAATCTGGACCAGCCATCCCACCTGAGGGAACCTTGGCTAGGTCACCTTCAATTGATAGCATTCAGAAAGATCCCAGGTGGGTAAAACCTTACTTCTATCTACAGCTGTATGAAGTCATAAAGAGGTTTGCAGTGGCAACCGGTTTCATATTTTACAAGTGTGTTGTGTTGTGTTGTTTTATTTAATCAGATAAACCAAGCGGTCGCTTGGGGTTCTTGCTTTGACTGCTGTTTGGTTAGCACTTTTGCAACAGAGTTGCCTCTTTAACAACAAAAATCGGGAGAGTGTTTTGGTGCTCCTCTGTGAAATCTTCTGTGAAAATACTTTTTTACAAACACATTGCATGCATTTGATCTAAAAATTAAAGGAGATTGTATTACTATTTTTGGATTATTTTAATGATTACCCATTAACAAAGAAAATTACTGTTTGGGTGTCTGTAAAGATGAATAGTTTTGTAAAAAAAAAAAAAAAGCTACCAGTTCAGCTGGAGTAAAGAGAGTGAGAATGTTTCTATTATCATAGGGACATTTAATTCAGTGTATAAATGTTTGAGCTGGGATTACCGAAGTATGTGCAAAAGACCCTTATTCAAAAAGAATGTGACTGATTTACTTCCATTGGCAGGTAGTGTGACTTTCATGGTTTTTATGCAGAACAAATCTTCAAAAGCTCAACATGCAGGGGTAAAAAAACACACAAAAAGCTTCATTCACTATTAACCCCCCCCCCCAGATGCATTCAAAGTTTTAAACTTTGATGGCAAATTCAGTAGACTAGTAGCTTGTGTTTCTACTTGGAATCTGAAAAAGTTGGGTTTCATAGCTTATGATAAAATTTCACCTCTGTTTGCTCTTGATGTCTCTCATGTTCAGTTTGTGAATGGATCGGTGTTTAACAGTTCAGACGCATAATTATTAGCCGTGTTTCGGGATTCAGTTGAACGTGGGTAGAATGAAACTGTAGGTGGAGTAAGGGTGCACATGCAAGCCAGTCCCCAGCACCCCATGTTTCTCTTCTGAATTTTGCATGGTTAGTGCAAAGGTCTGAAGGTGATTTTTTAAGCACATTCAATTGAGCACACTTAGAAACCTCCGAGTTTAAGTTGGAGTTTTCATGTATGCCCCTATCCTGTCCTCATGTTCATGTGAATGCCTGAACACAGCTATGGGCTCAGTATTGTTTAAAATGCAATTTTGCATGCAGGAGAAATCTTCTTGACAATTAACAGCTTGCCTGTATTGTTAGAAAATTGTAAACTGCCTTGTGTATAGTAATATAGAAAGGTGGTATACGAATTAAAAGTGAAAAATGAAAATATTTTGGACACTAGAGAGAGAATAATATTAGCTGCAATGGATAAAGAGAACTGTCAAGTTACAATGCACATTCCTATTTCCGTCCAACATCGTCTTAGGGCATTGTTATATAAAAAAGGTCAGTGTCTCTGTACTATTTTCCTTGTTTTATTTTACAGTGTTGCTGATATTTTACATATTTCTCTTAATTTTTGCATAGATCTTCCTTTCCTTGTAACTTTTTTATGTTGCGCATAAAACTCTTTCCATAAAGAACGACTTCTTGTAAGTAATAATACAGTGTGTTAAAGTTTATGAAACATAATTTGCACACCTGCGCAGATACACATGACCTTTTGAAAAAAGGTTGCAGCTAACACATATTTGCAACACCACTTTGAAAGATCCTTGTTCTGTTTTGTGCTTTGGTAAAGTTTTACCTACATTAACAGCTAAGAGAGGTTTGGTATTGATTCAGATAGTTCTTGTCTCTTCTCTTATTTTAAAGGCTGGTTCATTTGTTGACGTGAAACCCTTACGTGATGACTTTATAGTTTTTATGTTGTGAAGTATTTGTGTGACGCTTCATGTATAAAATTCAGTTCTTGCTGTGTTCTGTTTAGTTACGTCTCTAAGGGGAAAGGAGATAAATATCCTATATTCTCTGTGGACCATTAATGCTTACATTTGTATTGCTGCTATCTTAAAAAAAAAGAAAAAGCTGTGTATATTATCCACCACTTCATTATTTTTCATAGGAAAAATGGAATTCATTATGATAAGCAGCAATTAACACCTTTATTGCCACGAAAGTGACGTGAGATTAAAATATGGAGCGAAAGGCTTTGCTTTTTAAGATAAACCGAGATGTCCCTTAAAATATATCTGTTTTATGTTCTTTTGGGTTTATAGGGAAATAATATGGGAGATCATTATGAGGTCAACTAGAACATAAACTGTAGCGTCTCTCCTACTTGCTTAATTTTAAAACAGTATGCTAGGAGGATTCAGGTAGACATAAATAATGGCAAAACAGGTCGTCGTGGGAGGAGGTGGTTTTCCTCTGTGGCTTTTGGGTCCCTCCTACTTTTCTGCTGTTGCCCATCATGTCCTTCAGAGACTGACAGATTTGGCAGAACAAGGCTGCACCAGCCTTAAAATAGCCTTTTTGCAATTAACAGCTATTCGCTGCATCTTTCTTTCTTCCCTCAGGGTAGATATTTCTTATGCTGTCACTTGTTCTTAATGCTGTAGAGTCTGCACAGCTTTACAGGCACCTATCAGTACTTATCCAGTCACTGAATGCTAGAAGGAATTTGGCACCGTATTCCTACCGCTTGTGCCAGGGCAACAGCTCAACAACATGTAATATCCTGTTTTGCCCCATTGCATTGAAGCAGCAGTTGTGTATCCCAGCCAAAACACTTATTTGGTGGCATAATTATGAAGGAAGGCTGGGAGGGAAAACAAACCAATTTAAATATATAGCTGTGAAAACAACAGTAGAGTTTCCAGACAACTTGTCCAATTCTCTCCTATATATATTCCCTCCTTCAATTCTGCTACGTGTATCTTTTGGCTCGATCATACTTACATGGGGAGTAGCAGACATTGCTAAAAATCAGGGTGGATTTGATGTAAATCAAATCAATTTAAATCAGTACTCAGTAAGACTTGATTTAAATCACTAGTTAGTAAGACTTGATTTATTTTAACAGAAAAACTCATTCTTGCTGGTATCATCTTAATATTTACAACTAGATGAAGGTTTCATTTTTGGAGTAATAAATTTTCAGAGTAGTTTTTGCAGTTATATCAAAAATTACTGATTTGGTTATACTATTAGAAATACATAGATGGATAATTATGAAATTATTGTGAGGTTTAATAAGTTAACTGTTTATATTTGGACAACTTTTCTGCTTTACTTTATTGGAAGGAGAAAAATAATCATTTCCTTAATAACAATTTAAACAATTTATTTAACTAAAGCAATAACATTATAGCATATGTATCCATGATTGTTAACTGATGTGGTTAAACTTAGAATGAGTTTTAGCACACATGAAAAACTTAAAACAAATTTCCTTATTTCCTGATGAATAGCCTTTGGACTAAAATGTAACCTAAATAGAAAACTATCTTTAGAAAGATTTTTCCTCCAAAAGCATTTTATTTTAAAAATGACAGAGATAATAATTTAAAAAGGTGCTAACAATGAGTTCTAGAGAGTTTTAAAGCTGTAAATGTAGCACAGGTGGGCTCATTAGTAACAACAACCGTGTCATTCTTTTATAATGAAATCATAATTTTAAATATTAACAATATGCGGAATTCGTGATAGCATTCAAAATATGTCACAAGTTGGGATGCCAGAAAAGTAAATTTGACGATTTAAGAAGCGCTCCCAGGTGAACTTCTTCACCGATGAAAATCACAATAAATAAGCAGGAAATGCCTAATGTGCAAATTAGGAAACATTTTTCCATCTTCTGTAAAAGAGAATGTGCATTGCCTGCCATACTCTATGGTCTAAATTTGGCTTGTGCAGTAACCAACTTATGATGATTTAATCTTAATCAGTGTTGTCTTTGCAAAGCCAATATAGGAAAACCAGAGCTCCCAATATAATGACTTTCCTGAAAGTAATTTAGAAAATAATATGCTAGAAAGATACATTTAAGAAGCCAGGAACACTAATCAAAAAGTAACATTGTGGGTAGGTGTTCACCTTCCATGGGATAAGAATCACTTTGAGGGAACGACCTCTCTCCCATGTGACCTTCCTCATGTTGAAGAAGTTAACTTCTTCTCTACTCATGTAGGCTCTAGGGCTGGGCGATATCTGGTTTTCAACATCGTGATGTATCACCAGCTAAGCATCATGATATATCACAATGTCTGGAATAAGGAAATAACTATGTAGAGGCAAACATTGTAGGGCTGGGTGATACCTGGTTTTCAGCATCATGACATATCACCAGTTAAGCATCACGATATACTGATATAACACAATATCTGAAATAAGAATGGTGCTATGTAGAGGCAATGGATGGCTTCACAGTTTTTCACGCATTGTGATTTTTGCATAGCGCGCAGACACACAGAAACATCGTAAATATATTTCCAAGTCAAAAATTATGACACCGAAATCACAATATGGACTTCAAGCTGGTTTTGGATGATATATCGCCCAGCCTTAGTAGGCTTTCTGTGCAGGCCTGAGAGTGCAGAGTTCTGAATCATCAGAAGAACTTGCATGAGTAAAACAGGCTCCCCACTGCACAAGTTACCCCGCCAAAGCATGGAAGGTAATGGGGACACGGCAGAAGGAGAGTGGCCTGCTGTCCTCAACATGATTCAGATTGCACGGTGGTGGGGCTGAGAGTGAGCGCCTGTCTAGAGCGCCTGTGTTAAACAGATACAGTCATACCTCAGGTTGAATGCGCTTCTAGTTGAGCGCGTTCGAGTTGCGCTCCGTGGCAACCCGGAAGTAACAGAGTGCGTTACTTCCGGGTTTCGCCGCATGCGCAGACGCTCAAAATGATGTCACGCGTATGCGCAGAAGCGGCGAAAAGCGACGCGCGCAGACGTGCCATCGCTAGATACGTTTGCTTCTGGATGCGAATGGGGCTCCGGAACAGATCCCATTCGTATCCAGAGGTACCACTGTACTGATTGCTGAAGGAGCTGGCAAACCATAGCAGGGAAAGCAAAGACTTTGGAGTTGAAGGGACCTGGATACAACTGTGCATGTTGGAGGGAATTTCTGCCCCAG